TCACTACATCCTTTTTCTAAAGATGATGAGTGTTAAAGCTTGAACCCTTCAGGTTTGTGTATTCATGTGCATGCATGTGTGTGCACATTTCCCCTGTGCTACTGCCTGTGGTTTTGCTGCTTAATGCAAATCTGCTAAGATTTGTTTTATCCTATCTTAGATCTTGATTTAGGAATGTATAGGTAATGGAAAGCACTCTTGAAGAACCATTTTTTCTCAATTTGCTCTTGTCCTGTACTACATGTAAACCAGGATTTCAATATCTAAAATAATGCATTTTGGTCAGATATCTGCTGGATTTTGTTCTTGTTTGTGCAATGTACAAGCAAGTGATCAGTGCAACTCCTTAGATTGCTTATTGTTAATCAGTCTGTCTTTTAAGAATTTTTCTGGTGCATCTGTTGTGCTGATTCACTGTTTCTTTCACTTAAAACCTCCCTTGTGAAGAAATGAATCAAGTGGACTTGTCCAACAGCCATGCCCTGCCCTGTGATATCACTGCCTGTTCTCAGTTACCTGTCTTGGTCTCCAATTACGCTTTGTAATTGCAGCATCTCTGTATTGGTCAGGCCTCATGAAGGTAACAGGAAGCTTTAGATTGTGCTTTTCCACCTCAGAGTTATATAGAAAGCTGACATGATGCTGGTCATAGTTAATTCTTCGTATCAGTTTAGGTCTGTTACATTTGTCCATCTGTATAACAAAGTAAAAGAAATCCTGAGGTTAAAATATCCACTTCTTTGTGACTTGGCAGTGAAGAGGTAATGGGAGGAAAGGGGATGAAAGAAGTGTTATAGCAGTATGTGTGGTTTTCTTCAATTTTTTAAAAGCCTTTCCCAGTTATTTGCATAATAACAATGTGGAAAATGTAATGGTTTAAAGACCTCTTAATGGAGATAAACACAAAATACAAGATTCTTAATTTTTGTTTGTCTGGGATAAAGCCCAGGTCACCCTTCATCAGTAATTTTTCCTTGAGAATGAGACTGAATAAGAGCAATAGAGGCATTGAAAATTTTTGGTTATTGTTTAAAACTAGCTGAGAAGTTCAGTACAGTGGAGGGTTGTATGGCAGACAAATGAAAGCTGCAAAAAAAGAGTTTGTTATATTGCACCCTTCTTGAAAAATAACTTTGGAACAAAGACGCACTTGGATTTCATGTTCAGTGGGTGCATACCTGGGGAGAACAGCAGTGGCTGGTTCCATGGAGAGCCTGGCACACACCTTCACTGTTCCACTGGAGAATGCAACATTACATCAGACTGGAATAATACAAAACTGTGGCTGGAGGTGGTGTTGAGAAATCCCTTAGTCCTGGCTTTAGCACTGACTTGGGTGGAGGAATTTGTTCGGAGATTGGTTTGTTGCTTTATACCTTAAAACCTGAAGATGCCTACTCACTAGGATTTTATGGTAGTGGCTTTAATTTAATGTGATTCAGAACAATATGACCCCTGTAAGGCAGGCAGAGCTGAAGGGGGTGTGTAGCAGCTCTTAAACCATCACAGTTTGCAACACACTGCATTAAACCATCACTAAGTTCAGATTGCTTTGATGTGCTGGATTGCAAACTGTGGCAATTCAGGAGTTGCTGCATTCAACCATCCATGCAGCAGGCTCTGGGAGAAATGTGCTCCAAGTGTCTCTCATGAAAATCAGTGACAGAGGTACAGTCTAGCTTTCATCTTCTGGGCTACAAACTGTACACAGAATTTGCATTTTAAATGAAATTATTTTCTGTACTAAGGAGGACCAACACTGAATGCTTCAGACGCACAAAGAGGAGGTCCAAGAGCTTAGCTGAAATTAATTTAATTGGCTCATTGTGACCTTTGCTATCTGCTCAATTTTGTGCTGTAAACATCTGCTCACATCCAGTCGACCTTAAATTTAGACCATACCCACTTCTGGCCGTACCTGTCACAGAGACCATATCCGCCAGTTAAGACTGGGACAGCTATTCTGGGAAACTGGTGCCAAAAATGATTTGTTTAAATTGTTTGATGCCAGTGTGATGCACTGTGTCAGGCCATTACAGTGTTTAGCTGAAGCCTGGTTCTGGTGTGGAATGCAATTTGTGGCATCTTGGTGTATCTTGGCCCAGCCAGTAAAGCATCTCGGAAGGACACTGTAATCCCACCAGATGAATGTGGAGAGAATTGGTGTTGAGCTCAAGGAAGCAGCATCCATTGATTGGGAAAATAAACATTTGAAAAGCCACTATTTTCTATTAGATACATTGTTCCAAGGGCAAGTATCCTAATTGTACTCCAAAGCTTCTGTCACTGCTGCAGAAGCTTAGGCTCTTTGTCTCCTCTCTGTTTGTCCAACCCCACTCCTGTAATTATGTCAGAAGCAGCCACACTTAATCCCTTCTGCACCAGTGGGTGGTCAGTTAGTGATATTTTCAAAGGTATTTTCCTGACTCACACAATAGTGTGGGGTTGTTTTTTTTTTCTAGAAAACTTAAAATTATTGTATCTTGAAATTGTTTTGTAATACAGGAACATATGTGTATGGATATTTTTTTAAGGGAAAAAACCTTCAGAGAGGTAATTTCATTATGGTATTTTGCCTAAAAATAGTGGATTGTTGAAGAAGACCAGTAGTGAGACCAATAGCTTGACATATTAAAAATATCTGGCTTATTGCTTATTTCTACCATGCAGGTATAAATTTGCAAACTGCAGTGGAAGTTGTGCCCTGCTGTCCTTTGTGCCTCCACAGGGTACTGGTGACAATTGCAGGACATCTTCACATCTTCTCTTAGTAATATGTAGAGTGTGGGGTGGACTTTCTGTGGCGATTGTTAGCTTGTGGTAGAGCTGTAAATTAAATGGGGGAAAATAAAAAAGACAGCTGTGTGAAAATTGGAACTATAGCATTTTTTCTCACTGCAACTAAATGTGTTCAGACCTTCATGCATGTATTTGTGTATGCAGGAATGATACATAAAACAAAAACCTTCACATCCAAAAAATAAGAACATGTAGGAGACACAGGCTAATGGAGGAGGAATGGTATATATAGACAACAATGGGCAACCAGCAACTCAGGGGCCCATCGCAGCCATTGGCTTCACTCCATCTGTAGTTAGGTTAGATAATTTTAATGTTTATGTGTCATGCCATGTGTCAATGCATGAGCTGCTAAAGGCACTTGGGTGGCCCTGAGAAAAACAAGAGTTACCCAACCTGGGTTAGATAACCTCTGTGATTGAATTTCTGGTCACACAGGACTGTGTTTGGCTCTGGGTATGGTAAAATTTGTGGAATATTCAGACCAGTGGCCAGAAAGCTGCAATGAGTTCCTTGGTGTTCTTTTTGACCAATGAAATCGATACACTAAAGAAAATGGTTTAGTTTTTTGAAAGGGCATTTTGGCAAGATAAAATGTCACCATAATAGGAGAAAAGGCAAAAAGGATTGGAATTGTTCAGCCAGGAGAAGTCTTTGACGTAGCCTAACTGTGACCTTCTATAACCTGAAGGAGCCTACAGGGAAGATGGAGAGGGAGGCCCTTTTACAAGGGTCTGGAGAGACAGGACAAAGGGGAATGGCTTTAAACTGAAAGAGAGCAAGTTTAGGTTAGATATTAAGAATGACGGATGGATAAAAGATGAATAAAAAAAATGGATGTCCCATCCCTGGCAAGGTGCAAGTCCAGGTTAAGTGGGGCTCTGAGCAACTTGGTCAAATCAATGACATCCCTGCCCAGGGATATTGGAACTGGATGATCTTTACAGCTGCTCCCAACTCAAACCATTCTATGATTGTATGATAATATTTCTGACTAGCTCTTTTCCCAGCCTAAATCTTATGGTAGTGTAGTAGCCTTCCAGTGTGCTTTCTTTGCTGTTTTATGTCAGAAGATAAAAGACATCCTGCAGTTTGATATGTGCAGAAGAAATGTTATCCGCTCAATTTTTAAACTTGAGGGCATCAGAAGTCATCACTAACTCTGCTTGGTTCTATAGGCAAAAACTGCAGTAGTTCCTCTGTGGAGTGGTTGTTTTTAGAAGAGGGATTTGTGGCAGTCTAGAAGTGGGCACAACATACTGCTGGTCCTTGGGCTTCTGAGGGACTCCAAGAGTTGCAATGCTTGTTCATTCGAGCAGTTGCTGTGTTCAATAGCCGTGGAGGAGATGTGTTGTAATTTTATAATTTTTAAAAATCCCTCTCCCAGGCTGAAACATGATTGAATTTTAAAAAGATGTGTACAGTTTTTTAGGGTGATGAGCATTTATGCCTTTGTACAGCAGCTGACGTAAACAAAAGAGCAGATCCACACTGCTATTACCAGCTTCCCCTGTACTGCAGATGTCTGAGCTGCTGCTGGTGAGGGCTGGAGGAGGCTGCTCAGCTTCCCTTTGCAGGCTGCTCTATCCCCTGATTCTCCAGGAGATACCGTGGCTGTGGCTGCAGATTAGGTTTTTCTCTCCCTCCCCCTGCGAGACCTCTGTGTGCTTTGACGTCATGTGTGCTCCTTTCAGTTGCCATAGCAGCCCCATTCCCCAAGCTCTCTGCCTGTCTCCTCTGGTAGGTTCCACAATGGTACAGCCAGCATCACGCTGCACAATGGTTTCCAGGCAGTGAAAGAGCGTGATTCAGCAAGCCACTCTTCCCCCCCTCCCCTTTTATTTCATTATTATCAGACATT